TCTAACACCCTGAAGAGTTAAAGAAGGCAAAGCAGTTCTATGACAATTTGCCAGACTCCCAGATAACTGTAAATTCAAAACACACATGATAAGCACTGATGAAATCCTGGAACCTCTCGGTAACTGGCTTGTAGAGAATATACTGCCTTCTCCAGAGGGCAAAAGTGCTGGTAAGTCTGACCTTCATTACAGCAAGAGACTGGCCCCTGGTGGTGATGAAGTGGATGGAATCACCATTCTGAGACAGAACCATATACGCTGCTAGCTCCCATTTCCACATTTTTCAGACCTCACTACTTGGGGGAGAATGTTAATTTTTATTTTAATCATAGGAAATATCCCCTACCTCAAAGGATAACACACACACCGACTTCTTTTCTTTTAAACCTAAGCCAACTTTTCTGGAATGAATTTATTCCTTGTATCATAAAAAAATTCCTTACAAGAAAACTTTTCCAAATCCTGTAGGATCAGTATAGTACTGGACACATTACATAGCCTTCAATAAACGCATGAAATAAAAATTTAAACTTAAAGAAGGGAATAATAATGTAGCAAAGTATCCTCATTAACATAGATTCAGATTTCTTCATTAAAATATTGTTTCAAATTGAGTAAACTTTCAAATGATGCACAAGTGCACATACTTTCACGATCTTTCAATTTAAAAATCTAACTTTTAAATAAAAATCAAGAGTGCCTAGAAAAAAATTTTACTTAGAAATTTACCTTAGAAAAAAATTTTCACTTACTTCATAGTAAATATACTATGAATAACGTAAAAAGTCACGAAGTATAACCACCCACGTTGCAGACAGTTTACATCATGGAAGGTTTAAATCTGGTTACGTGGCACTACCTCTAGAAAATTTTACTTAGAAATTTACCTTAGAAAAAAATTTTGCTTGAAAAAAATTTTCCTGGTAAAAGAGCCCCGCCTCTACCCGCAAAGGGTCCTTTCTTACACAATGAGAATTTGTTTCTGACCTGTTAACTGTCAATAAAAACTTGAGCTAAAGCTCTCTCAAGACTAATGAACACATCTGGCATGGAGTTGAACTTTCAGATAGCCTGTAAAAGATCACACGAAACAGCCACTTAATCCTTAGAAGAATTGTAATTCCATTTTCTTCAGTAAAAATGTTAAAAATAGTAATTGGAGTAAAAATACAGTGTTAATGCCAGCAAGGCACAAACTGCTACATAAAGGTGAAGTGCACTGCCACATTTCAAGCCAAAAATCACTCTCAAATTCTGAGCTGGGTTCCTCTTAATTATAAATTTCAGAGATGAACTGTACAAAATCTAATCTAAGCAGGAGCATCTGATAATTTTCTCTCCCATGTCCATGTAAATTCCAATTCATATTTCTGAGCAGAAAAGCCAAAAACAATCTTATATATTAATCTTATATATAGTATATCTAGTATAGTATATATATTGTGTGTGCGTGTGTGTGTATATAGAAATATCTAAGATTTTATTATGTATATATGAATTCTTAAAGCTTTTTGCAATCTACCGTAAATCTAAAGAAACGTATAGCATGGATCAATTATATATGAGTATCAAGTAAAATTCATAAAAGTTTTCACTGGTAAACCTGTAACCTAACATGGCCACATAATGTATATTTTTCTGCATTTATTTGGCTCTTATCACTGGACTATTTCCTGTGGAGACAATCATCTTTCTGAGTATGTCTGTTCTCTAACTTGAATATCAAGGGCAGAGATTCTGTCTTTTTATTAGCCTTATTTAGCACCATGAACATTCTGGGACAATAAACTTTGGATACAAACGACTCAGACTATCTGGGTCTTAAGTGATTCCTTAAGTCCTAGTGGAGAGGAAGGTAAATCCATGAAGGGAGACCATCATATATACCAAGCGACTTGCTGTTGGGTGTTATCCAGAAACCAACCTGTTGGATTTTAAAGATTGGAGATTGACTTTCTCTCTCAGGGAGAAACGGGTTGCCCTATTGAATGCAAAATTTCCCTAAAGCCTCAAACTCCTCTTTGGATTCTGTTTCGGGATTTTATTAACACAAAGAAAACAACCAAATTTATGATTTGGTACAGGGGATATTAGGATAAAATAATAGAGAAGACACAGGAGATCAGTCTTTGGTGGTTTTAATATACAGGCTCTAGCTCTCTGACAAGTCAATTAAGAAAAAAGTAAAAGCACTTAAGATTCCATTCTCCTTGGAAAGGAAAGGAAAGGCTTAAGTAATGGTAAAGAGGTTTGTAAGTGTGGGATACCAGGCTCATGCCTGTTTATATATGGACACTAGCTACAATTGAGAAAGGAGAAGTTCTGGAACTCTAGAATACATCACTGTAGAACGTACTGTTCTGAATGTTTAAATTTGGTTCCGTTTTAAAACTAGTTAAAATGCTCTCTCTTCAGCTGATTTTTTACTAATTTGTTTTCCAACATAAGAGATATAGAGGGGTGAGTTTAAAAATACACTGAACAGGGCTTCCTTGGTGGTGCAGTGGTTGGGGGTCCGCCTGCCGATGCAGGGGACCCGGGTTCGTGCCCTGGTCCGGGAAGATCCCACATGCTGCGGAGCGGCTGGGCCCGTGAGCCGTGGCCGCTGAGCCTGCGCGTCCGGAGCACAGGCTCCGCAACGGGAGAGGCCACAACAGTGAGAGGCCTGCGTACCGCAAAAAA